GACAATGAATCAGGGGGTTGTCTGGTACGCCCGACACACAAAAATTGTCCAAAAATTCTTCTTAAACATGGGAGTCATGTTATATACGGGTTGCATAATATACGTGAGCATACAGTATTATTTTCCAAAAATGGCATACATGTACCTTTTTGGCATGCGTTACCTGTCGTCTGAAACAACAGGAGACACATAGGCTTACAGGTACAGGTATAAAATTTGACATAGAAAAAATGCTTATTTAGTTCCCTTTTTCATTAATCTTGAATTAGAAGTATACATTTTGTTCGTTTTGTTATAGAAAAAAGTTTAATTTGCTTTACTTATAAATGTTTTTATATTTTAATAAGTTTTTACAAAGGTGATAAAACTGATTAAGACCATTTTTTAATCTCAAAATTGTGTGTCAAGTCATTTAGATTATCTCAAAATTATTTAATTTACAATTTGATGTGATATTTTCCAAGAAAAGAAACTGAAAAAACAAACTATATTATCGTATAATGGGATACACAGGCTAGATTCTAAGAAATCCTTAATGTCATATATTTAAAAAAAATTTCTGAATTGGAATGCGAAATGACATGTTTGTTTATGCTGTGTTTTAAGAAACGCACGTAATCAACGTCTATATGGTCTGCAGTACCGTGTGTTTTTGTTTTGATGGATATAGAATAGAACCGTCTTAAGGGATTACGTCAGATAACAGATTTAATTCTACTAGATCCACATTAATGATTGGGACGATTATTGAAGAGTTTACAATCAGTGGCGTATCCAGGAATTCTAAATAGACCGCCCCAGGGAGGGACTTTCATAGATGAAGGGTCTAGGCTACTGAAGCCCCACTATGGCGTCGTTATGAAAATCTTATGAATATGGCACTACATCGCCACAAATGAATCCTGGAAGTGATTCGAATTTGATACAACAGGAAAAATGTAAACGCAAGTGGCCGGCAGAAAATATATACATTAATGTCTATGCAGATTTTTGTACGATCGGATTGACATGCTAGTGGGGTTCCCCACTCCCACCGGTCCTGTCAACAGCCAGTTATATAACGATATATATCATTATATAATGAGAAACGGGATGTTAACTAATAATTTACTGGAATGCAATCTTCACTGTTTTATTGTGTGTTACCTGAACTGTTTGGATTAATCCTACCTTAAGGACAGGCAATTTGCATTTGAAAACTTTACAGTTAGCTTTGTTACTATAGGCTGTTCTGGAAATAGGAGGAGTGTTTTAGTCAGTGGGATTGTTCAATGAAACTGTATTACATCCATAGACCTTCTCAGGCCTGCTGGATGTATAGATATACACAGGCTGTTTTTAGTCTTAGTTTAATGGCGCAATCAGCCTGCTATCCCACGCAGGCATTTTAATCTTGGTCTGGAAAATCTGCACTTGAAGAAGAGAACAGGGATTATTCATTAGATATAAGTCTACATTACCATCAATAATTGAGACACTAGCCTTGCTGTACAGACTACTGTACTGTACTAATAACGATGAGACTCTAACTGAGTTCACGTTTCAGTGAACTAGTGTTTACGCAGATTCATGTACCAGTATATCACGTAGGTCTTCTCGGTTATCCGTGCATGAAATTCGGTGACAATACTATTACGAGGTGAATAATAATAACAGTTCTTATTTCGTATAGCACCTCATTTGCAGATGACCTGAGGCATAGTCTGTCTATGGTCAAATTTGAAAACCCTCAGAAATTTAATTCACTATTTCTCCCTGAAAAGTTCAATACAAATGAGACAGATAAAAACAATTTTGTTTTACTAACCACCATCTCAGTCCTACCATAGTTGGGGCTGATGTACAAAATTTGATTACAGAGAAATGAAAAGGCACTAGCCCTAAATTAGAAAATATTAATTAATTAATTTTTTTTTTTTTAAAGATTTAGAGAGGCCCTGACTGGGTTGCTCATCCTCCCCCATTTTATCCACCCTACTTTTAAAATAAAAAGAAAAAATCTTTGTAAAAATAAAAATAAATCTGTTTATTTGGTGGGAAAAATGTTTTCTTGTTATATATAAAAGGAGGTAGCCAAAAACAGAAGAGATATTTTGTCTGACATCAGTCAAATTAATTAGGCCTTAATGTATGGCTATAATGACTTGACGAGTAACACCCGCCATTTAAGCTTTTTAATTATAGTGATTCAATTTAGTTGTTATTGTCCATAATGCGATTATTGTCATACATTTCTCATTAGAATTTATTTACAAATCAAGCTCATTGTTGCTGAGGATTTTTTTTTTCTAACTTAAGAAAAACAATTGTGCCTGAGAATTGAAGGTTAATTGTATACGGGTTCTGAAAGCACCTGCGTTTATAAGCATTCTGTGTTATAGAAATGAGATGTAGAAATTTGTATAGATAGAATATGGAACAACTCATTGTAAATAATATATTTGCTATTTTGTTTTTAATTTTTTGTTTTATTTGAGAGTGGATCTAGTTGTTGTCATTGATATGATAACTGTTCTGCACTTTTAAAAAAAATAAGAACCAGTAAAATTTTGCCCAACCTCTGTGTTCTTTGATATGTCTTTGACGATTCCAGGCTCAAAAATGTTGTTATTTTTACACGCTTTTCAACATAAAAAATTATTATTGTACTGCAGAACGTTATTACTATACTGTACTGTATTATAGATGATATTACATAGTAAAGTCAACTGCAAATAATGTACAATTATTAAAGATTTTTTTTTAAACCTCATTTGACATTTTACCTCCGACACAAAATGTTCTGATATTTTGTTCTTAATTTTTAAGCAATTTCATCACCAGTGTTATAAAATGTGTTCTTATAAAAAAAAAAGAAATTTTCACACATTTCAGAAAAGAGAATTTATAAAAAAAAATCTTTGTAAAAATAAAAATAAAATCTGTTTATTTGATGGGGGAAAATGTTTTCTTGTTATTATATATATTGGGAGGTAGCCAAAAATGGGAGAAGAGATACAGTATTTTGTTTGACCTCAGTCAAATTAACTAGTAATAATATTGCTATAATGACCTTGTGGAGTAACACCCGTCATCTAAGCGTTTTAATTTAGTGATTAATTTAGTTATTATTGTCTGTAATGCAATTATTGTCATAAATTTCTCATTAGAATTTAGTAAGGTATTAAAAAAAAGGAGGGGGGGGGTGGAAATTTTAGAAGTAATTCTGATCTGTTTTGTTTGCTGTAATGACTTGAAGGAAACACTGACTGTCAGGGTAATATTACACCATAGCATTCAAATTAAAATCTAAAAGAGAGGCTTTTGGAGAAACAAAATATTGTTGCTGCGAAGGTGCCAATTTATATTCTTGACAGCAATTTGACCTCTGAAAGGTCATTGTTTGTCAAAAAACAAGGGCCTAAGACGACTGAAAAGCGGAGTTTTCTTCTTTCATTCTGCCGGGTAAAATCAATTACTTTAGGTGACGTTTGTAGACTAACCAACACGTACCAACGTCCGCATGTCGCGCTAGCCTTATCCTACTCTAGGCCTAGACTAGCTAGGATGGTTATTACGACTTTGTTACCCAATGAGAAGTGTTTTAATATAGATAATGGGTCGTATTTCATATTATTTGTTATATTTTTATTATTCATTATTTTCACTTGACTCGCATAAATAATTTTGTTCGAAGAACATATATATGCAGTTGTACTTCATTTGCAATTTCTAGTTTAGTGTGGTTCTTATTTATGAGTGTTGCTTATTCAAGAGCAATACTTAACTTCATTTATGTATGGCGGTATGTGTAAAATCTTATAGCTAGGGCAAGGAATAAATACCTACTGAGTCCTGTTCTTATACTGTAACATACCATTGTTAAAAAAAGACTCCCTTGCACCTGTTACATGGAGCATGCATACAGCTCTATAACATACATGTCGAAGAATACCAGCCAATTACGAAAATGCCTGTCACTGAACCATAACAACAGAAAGAAAATGGTTATGATTTATTCACTTACTGAATCGACTGTTTGATAACTTTTTATTTAGTAATAACAGAATGCAGATATAAAATAGTTTCTTCTCCTTTTCTATGCGTTGGGATACGCCACCTATGGGCTCTTGGGGAGCGAAACCTCAGGCTCTCCATTCCCCAGGAGTCAACGGAGTGTCAAAATTAAAGTTGATTCTGTGGTTATAGTTAATTACAAAATATAATTTTGGTATATTCTTTTAACGATACTATTGCCTTTAAAATGCAGTTTTTTCAGTCTTAATATTCATATGTTCTTACGTTAGTGAATACATTACTGAAGTTCATAGGCCGCAACACACTTTCATCCCCGAACCCCACGACTTTGTTGTTACGTCACTGCTTGAATGTTAGGTAATTCTTAATCCAAATTCTTAAACTTCAGTTTAACAGTAGTCAATGAAATCATTCTTTCCGGATGTATGAGTTAAATATAGGCTATATATTAGATTTAATTTATATATAATTGTTTCCTGTAATATGCAATACAATACAGTAAAATATATTAATATTATGCAACAACATATAGCCCAGGAGAAACTAAACAGTTAAAGACTATTATATCTAAAGCTCATTAGATATACCTCTAATAAAGAAAAGAAAGCAAACATAGTCAATAGGTTATTATTATTATTATTTATTATTATTTATTATTATTATTATTTATTATTTATTATTATTATTATTTATTATTATTTTATTATTATTATTATTTAATATCATTATATAATATTAAATGTGTAAAGAATAAGAGCAACAGCTTAATTCACAATCTCATAGGGAAATGCATTCCATTACCATACGTATTGCACGTACAACCAGAGATTAACCTAGCACATAATTACGTGGTTTTTACTGTAATTACGTTTGCCCAAAGTCAAACATTTTCAACACCTTCTAGCAGCTGTCTTAAAAAATACAATCACGTACTGTATTGTGTTACTATATAAAAACAATCTTTATTTCTTGTTCCCTCAGGACATACGACTGCAGGTTGCCAACACGATGTTACACACGGAGCAGTCATACGTGCAAAGTTTGGAAATTCTAGTGAAGGTAGGTTGCATGTGTGCGCACATAAAGTTTTACATGTGCGCACATGTAATACATTATAATTGCCTTTGTAGTTACTATGTGATAGGTGGCCATGACATGGGGCTGGTTGATTGCCCATGATAAGATGGAGAGTTGACCTCTATGACAAGTTATGCTATTAAATGAAACATGATCTGCTCACTTTATGACTGGTGTTCTGAATTTCATTTTTCTGTCATATATAAATAATAATGCTATTAAATTGTCAATGATAAATGTTGATATCATTATGGATGATAATGATAGCGATAATATTAATATTAATAATAATTTCAATGTAAATGATGATAATGGTGACATGAATATTAAAGCTTATGATTGTAACTATAATGATTATTGTTAATTTTACATTAAACTCTTGGAGTAAGTTTCAAAGTTAGCATTACGTATACAATGAGATGTATTATGCAAAAATAAAAGGAATGGTAAGTTTATTTCCTGTAGCTGATAGAAACTTTACCTTAAGAATTCAACTATCCCTAAAATACACACCTGATGTCCTGATTTTATTACTGTACAGTACCTCTCGTTGTACACCCCCCTCCCCACCTCCCATCACCAAGGAGATTAATTTCACCTCTTTGTCTGTCTGAAAGATTATGCAAAAGTATACTAAAGAATGTATCATCATAAAATTAGAATGGCACAAACTTGTAATATTTAAGAAAGAGATTATTACATTTTTGGGAATAAAATGTCAAAGGTCAAGGTCACTGAAATTTAAAATTTTTTAAACTCTTTTTTTGCAAAAAAGAAAATAATGGAATCGGCCATAACTGGTTGTATTATTTGGTATTCAGGCGCAAGGTATGCACTCGATGGAGTGGTTATAGTTTTTTTTGTCATCTTCGTAATATAAAAGTTTACATCATCGTATTTCGATGAGCACACATAAATAGAACCTTAACATACATTGTCTGTTGGGTGTAGGAATATTGAACCACTTCTTAATTACCTACTAAATTTGTCAAATGGATTTAAGCCCTGGAGTAACCCAGAAAATTATGCGTTGCCTGAAACCAGAATGAATCTGCGCTATTATCGATGCTGATACGTTACGGGTTAATGCCAACCAGCGAAGAAGACGTCTGGCATGTTAACTACAGCGAGTATGTAATAAAATTGAACTTTAGATGGCATACAGAAGATAAAAAGTAAAGATCGTGGAACGGTTTATAGTTGAAAATGTGAATGAGATTTGTCAGGCGAAGAAAATTGAAGAAAGCCTTCCGGGCTGAAAAGATTACTGGTTAATCTACAGGAGTCCAGCAGTATCCATAGGATGCTTACTTATGGGTTTCTTAATGAGTTTAAATTTAAGTATTCTTTAGCACTGTAATGTAATTAATTATTTTTTTCTGAGAATTCTGCAGTCAATGTAATTCATCTGTTTTCAAAACCAGTATTGTAAAAATAAAGAATAAATCTATCATATCATCATAAATATCACTTTCCAAGTAACGAAGCAGTCATCCATTATTTTCATGACTTTCCCCTATTGTAAAAATAAAGAATAAATCTATCATATCATCATAAATATCACTTTCCAAGTAATAAAGCAGTCATCTATTATTTTCATGACTTTCCCCGTCGGGGAGGAAAAGCACAATTCGCCGGGGAGAAAAAAAAATTATATGTATTTTCTACATCTACATCGATTAAGTAAGCCTTTGAAACCCCTAAATTGTCAAAATTCTGGATCACTTTCGAAATCTTTTAATCGAAGCTCGACCATGCCCACTTTGCTTCCGTCAGGGAAATCTGACCCCTCGTCCATGTTCAACTCACACAGGTGTACGCGACGATAAATTGCATCGGGTAGTGTCATATGACACTACTTGAGTCAGCCTTGATGTCAAAAAGATGGTTCAATGTCGCTTTGTCCAAGAATATTATTTTTTCATTCAATTTTATATTTTATTTTCTAATGAAATAACAAGATAAAATTCATGGAAAAATGGTTCAACAAATTTATTATAAGAAGTTATATCAAAGATAAATTGATACCAAAATGACATGCTTTACACTCAATTCACACTGTATTCCTCACCTCCCGGTTTTAGAAATCCTCAGTCACAACCTGTAAGTTGATTATACTAATACTTTAAATAAATGGAAATATTTAGATATTTTAGTTCAAACTAAATTCCTAAAGAAATATTGAAACAAAGAGAATATTACATTTTCCACTCTCTGTTTTGGAAGTCTCCAGTCACAACCTGCAAAGTAATTATATATGAAATTTAAGTAATCTATAATTATATACTTTAAATGAGATGTTATTTATACCTTGTTTAGTGGATCTGCCACCAGTCAATAATGATGATTTTGAATAAAAATAAAGTTCTGATTTTTTCCAATTAGCGCAACCGCCACAAAAAAGGGAAATAAAATAAGTTTTTCTTTATTTTTATTGCGCTTGCCGCTGCCTTGAAATTTCCAAAAATAAGACGTTTTTTCCTTATTAAATTGAAAGCATTTTATCATCCCATTACTACACTGTTTACACTCACCAATAGAATTTTATGTTTACAAACGAAATTCCCATAGAAAAATTGAAACAAAGAGAACAAAAATATCTACGCTCTGCTTCTATCACTGTAAAAAACACAATATTCTCATTAATGCAGTAAATCGTTTCCTCACAGTTTATTATTAAAATGATCTTTTGTTTGCAGTATCAACTGCAATATACCCAACCACACCCATTGTAGCAGTATGATGAGTAATAATCAATTGTCATAGCTGTAATTTATGAAGGCGTAGTTTTTTTTGGAATATTAAAAAAAATGTGCACTTTAATAACAATAGATTCTAGCTGTTTGACAAAGTAATGATCAGATCCACAGACTTTTTAATGATTGGAGGTCTGATAACTTCTGACGAAGGCGAGAGGGTTCTAAGGGCACAAGCTGGATCCAACAAATTGAAGCCCTGGTGTGGGGCCAGAAAAGACTGGGTAATATTAAGCTATTTTAACGTTGTTTCGTATAGGCCTACACCAATTTATCGGCTCCAATTTGAAACAGCGGCGCCAACATCTCACAGACTTTTTAGTGGGTGGAGGTCTGATAACCTCTAACGGAGATGATTGGGGTCTAACCTAAGGCACTTAGTGGGATCCAACAAATTGAAGCCTTGGTGTGGGCCCAGGAGCTAGCTTCCGTGCGCCTAGTAAGACTGGGTAATTATGGGCTATTTTAAAGTTGTTTCATAGGCCTAACACCAATTCATTGATTCTAATTTGAAACAGCAGAACCAATGTCAAACAGCTTTTCACTGGGAGTCATCCAGTCTGGTGGTCATTGCCAGGTTATCGGAAATTTTCATTTCAAATTTAGCGAATATGTTGTATACAAGACTCCCTCCATTAAAATACCCTTCCAATTTTTGCAATTATAGACCATCTCCAATTTAAAGAAACTCCTGTCCCTAAAAGTGGTCTTTAATAGCGGTAGACCAAATTTAAAAAAGGTTATTGTACAAATTATAAGCAAACCTTAACATAGTTCATTAAAACAAGGAAATAAAATAATAATACTTAAACTATTCACCAAGAATTCAATACATTTAAGTAAGACCTGCCTAGGACACAGCAAGAAGAAATAAAGCATAACCCATGCAACACTATAGGGACTATTAAATGGCATTTTATTGTTGAACCAACAAGCCTGCTGTAGTCTCTTATATATGTGAAAATGTGCTCTAGAAAGCAGTTTAACCCGAGAACTCAATTATGGATGACTTCTGCGAATACTCTTTCTTCTAAATTTATTACATAATTTATGTATATTAATTATTGATTGGCAAATTGTATTAACTCTTCAGCCAATAAGCCATTCTTAATTAAGCATCAGCTCAGGATTTATCTCACCAAATGTAAGATAAATAACATAAATTTAAGAGAGGGGGGGGGGGGGGGGAGGAGACCAATACATGAGCTATGCTCGTACAAGAAATTGGCCATCATTACAATAAAAAATAGAAAAAGAAAAAAATAAAAGAATAAATAAATAAAAAGAAAAGTTTAGGACAAGGAGAGAAAAGCACTGACAATGCAGAACAGCAGCATTTAATAGAAGGCACATAACATAGCCTGTCCAGACTATCAAATTTTATTTGACAAAAACTTATATTCCCATATATAGTCATGACATGCCTATATATGGTCATGATGTGATGTCATCATGACCAAATTTAGACATCTCTCATAATTTTTAGCAAAAAAATTACAGAAGAAAATATGGAAACAAATCGCGATTCGAGTAGATTTATTGCAAGAATTATCTGTTTATTAATTATTAGGGTACGGGAGATAGTTTGTATCTCTTTTGGGAAACCAAGAGGTTGCTCTAATTTCCATGGAAAATTCCCATAGCTTCCAAGAGACTTAGGAAGGAGTCTCAAGATGACAGAAGTCACTTCCGACATATCGGGTTAAATGAGCTTTTTTAATGCATCTAATTTCATTCTGCTGCAAATAGTGATACCGTGAGACAATTGTGGCAAAGACAGCCAAACCAGTCACTCATCGCAAAAATCAATTTCTGGTTATTAGTACAGGGTTAAACAGTAAAATTAGGGCTAAAAAATGGTAAAAAAGTCATTTAATTCTGACATCTCCTTATGAAGTTACAGGCAGTTGAAGCTAAAGCTGTTTAAAGAATAATATTTGAGAATTCAGCCTTCAAACTTTATGATTTCAGGCATTTCTCAGGCAGAAACCATCACCAAATCATTAAAAAATATTTGTTTTAACATTGAAAATTGAGAAAGTAACAGCAGATATATAGTATAGATATATTATAGATATATACAGGTTAGTTTAATGCAATAATATAGATTTAGTAAATTTTGACATTCCAGTATGTTTTGGCCATTATCTCTGAAACACAATTTGCAACCAGTGACTGGTTTTGCTTGTTTTTGCCACAATTGATAATAAAGAAGTGAAAACATGCAAATGAATTTGGGAGAGATGTGTTATTTTCTGGAAAATTCTTGCTTGCTTACGGGATTGCGGGAGGCTGTCTTGAATATCCAGAAGTTCGGAGACACTTGGGACCCCTGCTTAGGTTCCTTGAACATTTTTCTTGAGATTAAATATTTCATAGCATAATGCTATCCTATTGTTCATTGCTTTATCTAGTATATCCCCTTTGTTTCTTTGAGTTCATGATACATTAAACCAGACTGAATTTCATTGACCTGACCTTGTTCATTTTTACTGGCTCTTGAATACCTTTTCAACACGTGTGGGAATGCGCGCCTTGACAAGATTTCTACAAATTTCAGTTAATTTTACCACAAACCTACCAACTGTAGGATTGAGTGATGGGTGTAAATAATGTGAATCCAACAGCCCGATGATCTGAAAATATAGCCTTTCGCAGCGGCTAAGTAGTCTTGGACATGCCCATACGCAATTCAGCACAATTGCAAGTTAGTTACCTTTCCCATCAGCTTTGTGGATTCCCAAAGCTAACCCTTCCAGTCTGTGCCATGTGACTGCAGTCGTTTTAATAAGCAATTACCAACATTAGTCACGCTCTTTTACTGGGGCGGAGCCATTTTATTCAACCCAATACGTCAGAATTCGCTAATTACATCATTTACAAAAGCTGTAAGACGAAGAAAAGAAAATATGTGTAGAGCTCTGAGGTAATGACAGAACACTTAGGGCATCTTTGCGACGCCTCATTCTAAAATAAATGGAAAAATTAAAGCATTGCCACAATGCAGTACAACTGGAAAAGTTTAAAGCTTCTAATATGATAAGAGAAGAGGGACTGTTTCAACCATTGGTTACAAATCAAATTCGCTGGTTAATTCACTTTTCAAAGCTCATGTCCGGATTATCAAATTTTCTTTGCCAAACTGTTGTATGCCCATATATAGTTATGATGTGCCCATATATGGTGATGATGTGATGTCATCAGGACCATATTTAGGCATTTTTTTGGGTCAAATTTAGTAGTCTGAACGGGGCTTTATATTTTATATTTCATACAACCTTTAGATTCCAATAATGTGATTGATAGAAAGGGTAATGAATTGGATAGGTGAGTCATTCCATACTGCTGAAGTTTTGTCCACACTATTACATATGGCCATACAGTATAAATAGTCATGATATATGCCTATTATTATATGCTCATGATGTAATGTCATCATGACCGTATTTTAGGCATATCACATGTCTCGACAATGCTTTAAAATATTGTCATGTTGTTACGCGAAGAAGTTAGTATTACAGTGATTAAAGGACAGTACAGTAGTCTACTTTTCTCAGAAATAAATTGGTTTCTGCAGAGATAGGTATCTGATAGTAATTATTTTTATTACATTATAGAAACATTGTATCATATGGTTGGTAAGATTCTGGTACCAGTACAAGCATTTATAATGCACTTTTTCCTTCTTGTTATAAAGCGTGCATGCCAAGTCTCATTGTTTAGGTAAAAACTCGAGGCAGCATGTACTTCAGCATTAAACACCCATGGAAATCACGCGTCACAACTATATTGTCTAAACAATTAACAACAAAAACTCAACACATACAACAGACACACAATCGGTAAAAATAACGATTAGAAGTACAAGGTGAACAAGTGAGTCTTGAGTGCACTTTTGAAAACATTGTGATCAGAAGCTTCTCTAAGTTCTGTTGGGAGATTATTCGAGAGTTTCGCAGCGCGACAAGGAAAAGAAAAACTTTCTATTCTCTTATTATGGCGTGGTACTGTAAAATGAACAGATGAAGTGAATCGCGAGAAATGTGGTTGTCTTCAACTCAACTACATCTAAAGCTTGGTTTCCATAAAATCGCTACATGCTATTGCCGACTCCTTTGGTGATGCTGATTGGCCAGTTGAATCAGGGAGTGATCCCGATTGCCTCTGGCATGTCTACGCAATCAAGAATTAAAAAAAAGGTTAAAGGTTTAAAAAAAAGAAAGAAAATGCTGTAGCTGTATATAGCAACAGTGTAGCGATGATAAGGTAACCGGTCTTTATTCTCTGTTATGTAAATGATGCATTTTGTGATCGTATTTTCTTCTCTTCATTTTCATAAACTGACATACACCTAATAATTCTTCAGTACATTATTCAACCTTTTCTCATAAATAAATTGGTTTCTACAGACCAGCTGATCGTAATTATTTTTATTTGATTATGGAAATACTGCACTATTTGTGGGGTTGTGTTCTTCATCTCAACTACACTTTATTCCCTGTTGTTCATATTTTGTCTTTGTAATTCTATTTTCTTCTTGGCAATCTTTAATAAAATAACAATATGCCAATAATAAATTTAGTCAGTACTATAATTCCTAATGTTTAATATTCTATTGCTATTTTTAATTGTGTTTGTAAATTTTGGTGACCCACTCTTCAGAGATCTTGAATCTCTTTTTGGGAAGCCAGCCTCATTTTCTTTATGTTATCTTTATATTTTTGTTACATGATGAGGCAAATAAGTGAAATGAAAACATCTCCTTTTTAATATGTATTAACATAGGTATATTATTTACTTAAGTGTTTTATGTGAATTTGAAATGAATAAATAAATGTAAAGATGTTTTTCGTTTTCTCAGAATTACTATGAACCCCTGAAAAGTCCTGAAAATGCCGGGATATGTGACCCAAGCATCGTCGACATAATGTTTTACAAAGTCCCTGAAATCTTACATAATCATCGCCTATTTCTGCGCCAGCTGCAACCGCGAGTAAAAGAATGGAACGAAATACAGAAGATTGGAGATATCTTCACATCCTCAGTGAGTATTTGTTCTCATTGTTCAGCATCCAATATCATCAATATTTTTTTTTGATCAGAAATGACTCAACCTTCCTTTAATTTGACCATAATCGTTTCTTCTTGGTGGAATTTCTGAATGCATATATACAGTACACAGTGTGTAAATCGTATTTTCATTGTACTAACTAGGGCAAGACGTCTTTTTATACCTTGTTTTTTAAAGATCGTCGGAGGAGGGCAGAAATAAATAAAATGTTGTTTTCTTATTTAGCGGATCCAGACAAAGGAGGAAATAAAAATAAATAGTTATTGTTGAATGTAAAATAAGGTGGTAATTGAGTAGTTAAATGCTTGAAATTTATATTTCAAGGCAGCAGCAGCAGCATAATAAAGATAAACAAATTTTTTTTTTCAGACGTTTCCATTTTTTCATGGCGGCAGGGACGCTAATTGGCCAAAAATTTAATTTTTTTTTCCCCCGAAATTTTCGTTATTGGCGGGCGGCGGTTTCACGCCTAATATAAGATGTAAGTAATAGCAGTTGGGTATAGCTTGGTGGTTATGCTTTACATTTTTTAGGGTTCTGGGTTCAAATCCTGGTAATTTCTTAAGCCATAATATTGGGAACACAAGCTTGCATTGGATTAATTTTGACCAATACAAAGTGCTGCTTTATCTAAAATTTAACCACATGCATGGTCAGTTTTTTCTCAAGGACAATCTTTATGATAAGACTTTTTTATACCTTGTTTAACGAACCAGCCACCCGCCAACAATGGTGATTTCAAATAAAAATAAAAACTTATTTTTGGCTTGTTAGTGTACTGGCCGCTAAAAGAAAATGGATAATAATTTTGACCAGTCACACAGGTCCCAAAAATAGTCTTTAATTGGAGGGAGACCTCTATCTCAGCTTAATTCTCTAAAATCATACTTTTTACAGTGCAAAATTCTCCATACCACCTACAGTGCAGAGGCCCTGCAAGGTGGAAGCTATCAATTTATTTTGTATTAGCTTGATAATTGATTGATCAGTTACTTGGCTTGTATAATATTGGATTTGTATAGACTTTATGACCTCTAGTGCTGCCCTTTCCAATCCAATATATTCAATGACTAGCAAAGGTTTTTTTTTATTGAGGTAGTAAATGTGGAGTAATGGTCCAACCGCAATATTCTAACAGTAGCTATTGCACAAACAAATAAATCAGACTTGCTGATGATGAAAGCAAAGGGGACTAAGTAGTTTGTACTGAGGAATGAGTGGTTAGCTCAAAAGAATGAACGGTTGACATAGCGGAACAAGCAGCTGGTACGTGCAAAAGAATGAGCAGTTAGCGCAAAATAATGAGCAACTTGTACGTGCAGAAGATTGAGCAGTTAGTGCAAAATAATAAGCAGCTTGTTTGTGCAGAAGAATGAGCAGTTACAGTAGTGCAAAATAATGAGCAACTTGTACATGCAGAAGAATGAGCAGTTAGCGCAAATAATGAGCAAATTGTACGTGTAGAAGAACGATCAGTTAGCACAAATAATGAGCAGCTTGTACGTGCAGAAGAATTATCAGTTAGCGCAAGTAATGAGCAGCTTGTACGTGCAGAAGAATGATCAGTTAGCGCAAATAATGAGCAAATTTTATGTGCTTAACAGTGAACAGTTAGTGCAAAATAATGAGCAGCTTATCTACCTGCTGAAGAATGAGCAGTTAGGACAAAAGAATGAGCAGCTGCCAAAGAGGAAAGAGCTGTTGGTACAGTAATTGTGCTTTCGGGATGTCAACCGTCGGGTTGGGGTTTGAATTAACTCCTTCCTTGGGTTTGTCTCTCTCCAACCACGAGTATGTAATTTGAATGGCTACTTTGTATGCTTCAGTGCCAATGTACACATCACTAGCACCCTTGCACCAAGAGTATGTGTTCCATAGGTCTGTTATAAAAGACCTGTGGAATTAAAATGTGAAGCTCTGCAGTATTATTGGCATAATGGTACATCGCATAAAGTCCTATGTAGACTATCAAATTTTATTTGACAAAAACATGTGACATCCCTAAATATGGTCATGATGACATCACATCATGACCATATATAGGCACATCATGACTATATATGGCCATAAAACAGTTGATTTTGTGGACAGAGCAGAAATCTGGCAAACAATTATGAATAAGACTAGATAGAACAGTATCTGCAGTGTGCAGTACGTACACGCCATTCGTCTATGATGTATGGATCAGCGATGTATACATTTAGAAAATTGTAAGTCTGAAAAGTTAGGAAATGCACAAATCGTTCAACCTCTGTCTTCAATGTGAAGACATGGTGTTTTTTGACATTCAGAAATAGAGTGGATTTTCATACTTCAGTATATAGTTTAAAATGTTGTTGTAAAACTTATCTCATTGTCAAGAAGTTGTTTAGAGTGTTCTGGAAAGGAGTTCTCACGTATATGACAAAACAAGTGCTTTTCAGCCTCGTCTTCAGACATGAAGAGTTCTTGACTCATGCCGGCAACAACCAAGGCATTCCAAAACTTAGCACAGTTGTAAATGTGCATAAAATGTTGTTGAAGACTTCTGTTAAGTTGTTTATAATATCCTGCAAAGGGTTTTCAGATGTTTGACAAACAATTGCCTTTTGAGCCTCATCTTCAAGGTATTCCAAATCTACAGAACACCGAACATTCCTAGAATTCTGTTGAACACTTCTCTTAAGAAGTTGTTTATAATGTCTTGTAGTGGGTTTTCATACCTTTGATAAAATAATACTGTAATTAGCATTTGAAGCTTATCTTCAAGCCAGATATAGGGGCAGGCTCAGACTGACAAGTTAAAACGCTTTTGTTTTGCGCAAATAAATTCACTTTAGTAGTGAACTGGCTTCATAGAAGGAGGTTTCACACGTTTCTGACCATTCACCCAACTGCTGACTGTCATTTATTGCAACAAACCAACACTTTCACTTAAGAATTCTTCACCTCTCTATCAATTGACTGATGCCTCATAAATGCCAATGAAATTTATTGATTCAAGTGATTAATTGTTGATGTAATTGCATGCCAGAATCCTGGTTTTGTATGTGTAATATTTATAGTTGAAGCTAGCATGACATGGGCCTAAGCTGGGGGTTTGCAGAGGGTGTGGATGTACATCCTATCTAATTGCATAGCAGCAAATTAGTCCCACTTTAAAGTGGATTAAAATACTAAAAATGAACAGTAAGTTTTCATTATAATAGGGATTTCGTTTCAGGTTCTGGGAATTAGTTCCACATTCCCATTTTTCGCATCCCTTCCCCCTCCTGGCCGAAACCAGTCTGTGCCCTTCTTTGATAGGTAGGAGTGATTCCAAAGGTTTACCCATTAATATAATTTGGTAGACATTCTTAAATTACAATATCAACAATAATATCATATTTTCGTATGTATATTTTTTTTAATACACTGATTTTAATTGAATTTTAATATTTTAATATATTGTTGTATATTAGAATTTTATTTGTCTTGCCATTTGTGTTGTATCTTGTTGTGTTTTTTTTTACGCAATGGCTCCATGATTGTCAGCTAACCACTGTTTTGGGTCAGTTACCTTCGGTAAACGAAGTTTAATAAAAAATGTTAAAAAATTAAATAAATAGTAAAACATTGTACTATATATAGTAAATATACATTTAAACAACATTCTGTATTACAGAAGTATGTATGGAAGCCTTTTTTACACAAAGTTTGCAAACCTTTAACTTACAGAGGTAACATAGATGATTTTGAATTTGTAACAAAGTTATATATTTGGCCTGTTTGTTAAGTGATATCACCACTGTGGGAAAATTGAACATATTCCGGGGCAAAATATTTATGCATCACATCTGCCACTACCAAAATATGTCTCCTAAAATTCCTTTTTTTTTTCCCCTCACAATTAAATAAATATGAAATTAAGAAAAAAAAAATTGGTGATTTGCAGACTAATAATTACTATTTGAATTTAGTTACCATAGACACACCCACGCACACTCCCTTTCAGATACAGAGACGGACACACACACACCGACAGTTATATACATTGTTGTAAATAAGGCAACACTTTTTTTATACCTTAATTAGGGAACCTGCCGACTGCAGATATTGATGATTTTGAATGAATATAAAGTTTTATTTTTGGCCGATTAGCACACCTGCCGCCACAAAAAAGTGGAAATTTCAGAAATTTCCAAAGATTAGATATGTATAATATTTCTTTATAATTATATAAATTTGAAGCATTTAACCATCCTGTTTGACATTCTCCAATAAAATTTTTATTTTCTCCTCCGTCTGGATGATTTTGGCAAAACTGTTTGCGAAATAAGAAAACAAAATTTAATTTTTTATTTTTCTTCCGCCCTTCTCCGATGATCTTTAAAAAAATAAGTACGCGAAACAAGGAATTAAAAAAGTCTTGTCTAAAGATTCAAATATATATTAAAATACATTGAAATATTTTAAAATAATATTTCCCTTTTTATTCAGCTATAAATATTTGATGGCTCAATTAAGTATATGTATTGGCATCTGTATGGAAAATACTTTTCGTTATTGGTTAATATTGAAGCTTTGCAGATATCTCAGGGGAGTGTTTATGCAAATGAGGCAAAGTGTTTACAACTTGACATTGAATTTCCAGAGCTCGTTTTAAGTCACAGGTGTTATAAAGACGTACCATTGTCAAACTGTTATTTATCTTGCATATCATTATATCTTACTTATCATTAGCATATCAAATCTTGTCTTCGATGTCGAATACTGCATATGGAACGTGTAGGCTGCTGGCACATTCACCTCTAACGATTAGTGCCAACAAATTTACATAAAAATGTGATAATGACAAAATTATTATTATTGTTTATTTTCGGTAAATATTTCAGCCGCTCCAAATTTCTTTATTATTCTTCTTCCTGTGCTTCTTTCAGATTTTCGTTGAATTTAATTTATTTTACTAAATACATATTTACGCTTAACTATTTATATAAATATCTCATTTCGATACATAGTTACATATTTTAACTGGACTCTAGAACTAGGCATGTGTATACATTGTGTCTGTATTTAACATATTTAAATTTTTTTGCTTTTATTTTTAAAATATCAAATATTATTATAAATTACTTATAAACTATTATATAAACGATTATATTATTTCATATAATATATTTTTCAAATAAATATCTAAACAATTTGAATTAATCATAAACTATGAAAGTAAATTAACGTAAATTAAATCAATAAAAATGGACATAGTAGTAATCCTTATATATTCATTAACAAGAATAACATTTTCAATCTTCTAATCAATTTTATATAGCCGGAGTTAGTTTCAACCTACGGCAAACCTTGCCGAAAAGGTACACTTTCTCCATAAAGAGGCTTTTTCTATAGAATGACCTGCACAAACTCCTGTAGACCAAACCTAGTACGTTACAATTTTTAATCATGCGGGAAATCCACTCACAATGCACTTATATTCTAAGTTAATGCCCTCTCCTGACTATCAACAGGCCTAAATAATGTCATGGTGGTGATCGCATCATGACCATTGCCAAACTGTCATTTATCTTGAATATCATATCTTACTTATCATTAGCATATTATTTTGAAATAGCATCTTCTTTTTCTAAAGGCCTGTCCAAGACTATAAAATTTTATTTGACAAAAACATGTGACATACCTATGCTTAAAGAAATTTTGATAGTCTGGATGGAACTTTTAAGATAACTTCTTATCTGGTTCCATAAGAAGACTACATTTGTTTATTATGTTTTCATTGTAAACTAAATTTGGTCAAAATACAGTAACTATAAAAAGAAAATTGCAACAAATACTAAATGTTAATTATTTTGATAAAAAGAATATGAGTTCAAAATAGTTGACTTTTCTGAGGTACTTTTTATAATATTTTTATAACATTTTACATGACTTTAATGAGAATTCATTAAAAAATATATAATTATCTCGGGTCTGATTTAAAATACAACAAAATGGTACTATAATATAATATTAAAACTGTTACTGTTGTAGTATCCGTCTTTTTCGTCATTCTAGACGGGATCCCTCAATAAAATCACTGCTGGTGTTTACCTGAAGAGCCAGTATGCTTTACAAATGTATTTCAATTATTTTTTTTATTTTATATTTTTTAATGTAAATATAAAAAAATTAAATATCACCTAATTAAAATAATGAAGAGATGGGGCATGACGTCATAAACTTTATGCAACTACGTCATTCATTTGAGAAAGATTGCTAAGAGTGACAGAAACGTTTAAGAGGTAATTATAATCCCTTCTTCGTTTAACAAAATTGAGGAATGTATAACAAACAACAGAGGGCGTGTGACGTCATTGAATGATGACATCATAAACTGTATATACAGCATCATTATTCACTTTAGAAGGATCGCAAACAGTGATTAAAACATAGAAAGGTAGTTACAACCCCTATGTTTTAGGTTCACAAAAATGAAAATTTGAAATTAACTATTATTAACAAACAGTTTACAAAGAAATAATGTATATCATGAACCTTGATTGGATGAAAATAAATATAGAAGTAAATGAAAAAAAAATACAACAAGAATTATTCAACGAAAGTTAGAACTTAGCACTTATAAAGTGCCGTCTGTCTCGATAAACCTAGAAAGATATAATATATTTTCATACATGATTATGACAAGAAATTATATAACTTAAGATTAAATGAACAATAATGATGCTAGAAAATGTGATTATAGAAGCATATTACATGTGAAAAAATTATATTAATTGCATGAAAATATTACTTTACAAAGATATTAAATAATAGTACAGTCCAAGGACTCGACTAAAACAAGGTATTTCAGCTTGTGTTGTGGAATGAAACGGTGGATGTGTTTATTAGATGCCATTCCATGCCATAAAGGCAAATGCTAATTTATGAGCTGCAAGATCCTAGTTAAAGGTGCTTAGAGTCTGGCATTAAGGTGTTTTGTCATTCTTGATCAAGGGAAGAATTTGTATAAATCAGTTTATGTAACCTCGACATCCTTTAAGGCTCTGTCCACACTGACAAATTGTTGTATGCCCATATATAGTCATGACGTACCATACATGGTCAGGATGTGATGTCATCATGACCATATTTAGTTTTCTTTTCATGATCAAGGATGACTTGGGGAAGAATTTTTTGAATCCAGCTTTTTGATAGGCTAGCTTTAGAGTTTGGCATTAAGATCATTCTTGATTATGGGAAGAATTTTTTTAATCCAGTTTATGTACATTAACTTCGACATCCTTAAGCTCTCTGTTCACATTGACAAAAAAAAACAAAAAAAAAAACCGTTGTATGCCCATATATGATATACCTATGGTCAAGATGTCATGTCATTACCATATTTAGGCATCTTGCATATTTTTGTCAAATATAATTTTATAGTCTGGCATTAAGGTCATTTTTCTGTGAAGATTTTTTTAAAATCCAGTTTATGTAACCTCAACATCCTTAATCTTAACCTCTGTCCAGACAATCAAATTTTCTTTGCCAAGAAACTACATGCCCATATATAGTCATGATGTGCCTATATATGGTCATGGTGTGATGTCATCATGACCATATTTAGACATGTCAAATGTTTTGTTCAAATAAAATTTGATAGCTTGGCTTTAGAGTCTAACATAGGTCATCCTTGATCTATTTTATTTTATTTTATTCCATTTTATGTAACTTCAAATTCTATAAGCTGTCTCAAATTTTCTTCGACAAAAAACTGTTATACATGCTCATATATAATAATGATGTGCCTATATATGGTCATGGTGTGATGTCATCTGGACCATATTTAGGCATGTGTCATGTTTTTGTCAATCATAATTTGATAAGTGTGGACAGGGCCTTAAATTCAAAGTCTGGCTTTAAGGTGTTTTGTCATCCTTGAACATGGGAAGAATTGTTTTAATCCAGTTGATGTAACCTCGACATCCTTAAATTATGGAGGCTGTGAAAATAGAGCAGCTACAGGTGCAAGCTGTGTTTACTTCCCTCCACAAATAATTTCATTCTTCAATTCCGTCTTGAATGCAATAGGCCTACACTTCTTTTTCAAAAAATAAAAAAAACTAATGCTGAAATTGCTTTTACTATATATACTGTAAAATTCTTTTGGTCTTGCCTCTACCATGTGAAGTAGTTGCGATTATGTACCTTTAAAATAGAGTACAGTAATATACTGCAGTAAATTTAAGAGAAAATGTTTTTGAAAAAACTAATAATATTTAATTCTATTTGTATTTTGGTTGGTGCATTTCTGTGTGTTTGAGTATTATTTTTTTTACAAGTATAGACCCATATTTTAGTAATTTCTGTAAATGCTTGTTTTCAACTGTAATACAATTGCAGCCTTTCATAGTGTGTGTTATACCTGAATTAAAAATTTCAAATAAGGAAACAACATTTTGAGATTGAAATTGGAAATTAAGAAAAATAAAAAAGATTTACTGGTTCTTATTATTAATTAAAAATGTGTTATCAAATGTAGTACTTCCAATATTTTTGTAATCATATTTATTTAATACTTAATTCATATCTTTGGCACTAAATTCAGTTGCAAAAAAGCCAAAAATTCTTTACTGATTTCTTTATTTCCCTGTATGTTATAATAGTATTTTATTTCATTGTGACCATATAATATTAGAGAAAGAAAATATTTTATTTCTCTATGTTGACATATTTCCTCACCCAAATGAGTATGCTCAAACATTAGAAATAATTGCAATAGATAATATTCCAAATGATATTTCAGTCATACAAAAGCACATTATGCAAACAATTATTCATTCATTATTCAGTCAATCATTTCATGTGAATACATGTGTCTATGTTCATATACAGAGGAGATATCAACAACGAATAATTGTAATTCAGGGCATATTTGACAGCATGCTTTCGCTCTGTCCATAATAATTTTTTTTTAAATCTCTGCTTAAATGCTAGTTGCTAAATCATCACAAACTGTTAAAGAATCAGGGGTAGCAAAAGAGGTGCTCATACTGAAGTACTTGTCTGCTTTTTTTGCAGTTTACCAAACAAAGTCTGTTAGATACGTATACTGCATTTATAAACAATTTTAGTCGTGCAAAAGAACTTATATCAAAGGCGTCGGCCAAACCAGCATTCAACAAGTTCCTCGACGTAAGTATTAACAACATTGTATTACTTAGTTTACAGTTCATAAAGAATATAAAAGTAACTATCTTATTCCCTCGGATATTTGAAGGATTAGCTCATCTACAAATTAACGTGTTTGCTGTCTGATGTGTACTTGCGTCGGACAGTTTTCACTCAGGGTGGCAATATGTTCATGTCAAACCTGTCTGTCTAAACATAGCACTTTCGTTAACGTATGTAAACTTGCTGGTAGTTGGTTGCCAAAACACAATTTCGCAGAGCCACCTTGACCAGTAATTTAAAAATAAGTACCATATGTTTGTTCGTGTTTCGTTACATTTTGTAAGAAGAATATTTATTAATATATAATGGCGCCCTCTATTCATGAGCATATGACCGACAATTTTTAAAGAAAGCTTGGCAGCTAATGTGTTAATTATCAATTAATTCTTCTACATTCTCTTCTTTTTTTTTTTTTCTTTTTTTATAGGACCGTGTAAGGGAAAACAAGGATAAGTTAAGTATCGATGACCTGATCATTAAACCTGTGCAAAGGATACCACGCTATGAACTCCTCATTAAGGTTAGTAGCATCTGAATAAGTCTTGAATGTTGGCTTGGCGCATTTGATAATAATTATTGCTACTGTATTATTCTTTTGGTACACCATTTGGCATAAGCTACAAATCTTAATTGTTGTTATTTGGTTGCAAGAAGAAGCATTTTGATTGTTTATTTATTCTTTTATTTATTTATTTGCAATCAGCAGCGAATGGCTGAATTTAGACATATAGATATAGATCACTTTATTCGTCATTAGTTTAAAATATAAGTCTCATGAAAATTATTTTCTGTTGCTGCTTATGAATCATAATTCTGAGGCCTACTCCTTCTATCCTCAGGCAAACGAAGTGTTTTTTTGACTGCATTACATTATAAAAAAACATAAAAATACAGGTAATATAAAACACATAAATACATTGAAGAGAGGGATTGGAATTGGAATTGATTACGATATTGGATTGTGATTTCCCAACGTTTGGATTTGGAGGACCTCCCGTGGAAATACGTCTTAGGACGACTTTCATGAGTTATCCTTGGTTTTAACACTAACCAAATACAATCCTATCCAATAAATTATGTTATAATTCAAATAACCTTATGCAATTCCACTTGTACACATATATTCTTTATTCAAGTATCATTTCTATCATTTGATTGTGCATGGGTATATATGCATATATCACAATATGCTTAATTATAGTTTTATGATTTCCATACAATAATTATAAGAGCCTTTGTTGATGGCTGCTTATGAATCATAAATCTGAGGCCTACTCCTTCTGTCCTCAGGCAAACAAAGTGTTTTTGTTTTTTTTTAATTTGAAATTTGTCCTTAGCCATAAATTATGTGAATTACAATCAATATCAATATACCACATTCCCTGTGTGGAATATATGAATACAACAAGTGTATTAGTGTAATAATATAATTCAACCTGGAGATATTCTATCGGCAGTATTTGGTATTTTATATTTAGTTGGATTTTTTTAAAAGTTAATGATATATACCATGTGTATGGTGGTTAAAAGAAATTAGTGAGAAAAAATCAATAGCTAAATTGCATACTTTGTATTATGTATGATTATTAGCTTTTCATTTAAGCCAGGCTCCTGAGGGAAAAACAGAAGGGGTGTTTAAATAAGTAATCAGAACGGCTAATAAGATATAGATTTTTGAATATTTAAAAATAGGGGGATAAGTGGTGGTATATAATCAAAGAATATATTTGTTATAAAGGTGGGCCAAACCCATAGAAATGAAAGATTGTTTTTTACTTTTAATAAAATCGTTAGCTGTGTGGTCATGCAC